AATAAATAAATTACATGCATATATACATGCATGCATGGATGCATGAGTGAGCCTGGACAATAATCCAAGCAAATGTCACCCGATGTACGGCAATAAGTTCCATATGTTCAAATTCATATTGAGTAAATTTTGTGAAAATCGGATTTAATTTATTTGCTTTATAGGGAAATCCAGAAAAACGTTTTTACAGCTACTTAAAACAAATTAAGCCTATTTTTTCCGCGATATCTCAGGGACATAATATTAGAGGTAGTGCCTAACGATTACCAAAGTGTTTTTCATACCTTTAACTCCCTAATGAATTGGTGTACAACGCCGAAACTCTTCATTAACGTAGCAATATGAYAGGTACATTCTTTTTCAGAAATCGATCAATACAAAGTAAAATGTAAATTTTTGATTTCGTGCACGCTCTATCTCTTTGAAAATCCTTGCTCCAAGTTAAGGACCACATGATGTTGTCTTTCCTCGATGAATTTCCACCAAACTTTGGTAATCATTAGGCACTACCTTTAATATTATGTCCCTGAGATATCGCGAAAAAATAGGCTTAATTCGTTTGAAATAGCTGTAAAATCGTTTTCAAGGATTTTCRCAAAATTTACTCAATATGAATATGAATCCCTTGTTAATCATGTAGTAAGATAGTATTACAAACTGACCAACTTAAATACTTTTTAMCCGTTTCTTTTGTCCTGGTCGRAGTTCTAAACAACTGTATCCAGATACCTTAATCTCAATCCGCTCGACCATTGAGCGATTTCTAAGCGGCGAAAACAAAGCCGTTATCCATCATCCTATACATAATCACTGAGGCATTATACCTACGAATGCTGTGTGCCGAAGTAGTTATCTAGTATAATTACTGATATTACCAAAATCCAATTGTTTTCTTTTTAGCTACAATCGTTGACAAAGTCCTTGGACCATTCAAGCGAATTTCCTCATTTTAAGCAACACTCGCAGACAATTTCATCCCCCCTGACCCCCTAAATGCAATGTTGTCATTGATCATGTTACCATAGTACATAAGCATCCAAAACAAGACCCAAYATTGWTTAAAGGGGGCTAAGGGGGAAAACTGTGAAAAAATAAACGASAAAAATGTTAGGCTGGAGACAAATAATTGTACGGTCCAAGGTATTYGGGCAACGATTGTAGCTTGTTTATCATAGGAGAAATACCAATCGGTTTTAACGGACTTTGAACTAGAGTTTTTTTTATCTGAACACAGTAACTTAATAAACCATCACACAATCGCCTAGCCTGAGTAGCGGCTAAAAGCACCCAAGAAACAACAACAACAACAACAACAAAAATTCTGCAAAATTATTGATTCAAAACTATGTGAGCATGCATTGCCTTTTCGGTATATGGAATATAATGTCCCACACGTATGGGAGCTAACGTTTATCATAAGAGTCGATATTAAAACCGACAATTTCTAAATAGGTTCTGGGTCTGATAAGGACTGATAAGTAGTTTTCTTACTAAAAACTATGTCATCCTTTACTGTAAGTCCAGCAAGCCATTCTTCAATATTTTCAATATTTCAGCTACTTAACATGTCTGCATTCGTTGATTTACAGTCAAAAGACATCCCCCCGAAAAGTTCGTTAGTCAATGCATTATTGGATTTTTCAT